TGAGCCTCCTGAGGTGAGAAATGGGTCTCTTCTGTGCATCAGTAGCATGGCAAGGTAATTTGAAGCAACAAGGCTGCATTGCATAGCACCCACAAAGGTATTAAAAGCTTTGTGGGAATAATGTGCATAGGGATATACCAATTGACAATAGCTATGGATGTCTGACCTGTCGAATTGCATTTACCAGATCCCTCACTGAGGCCAAAAGTGGAAAGCTTGATGGATTTGAAAGGGTACAAGTTCCAGGCTTTCTCTGGAAAGCAAGAGGCAGGGGAGCTGTTGAATGATAGTCATTTTTAATTAGTGAAGGAGCCTCGTTGCAGAGGAAACATGTAACACACTTCTTCAAGTGCTTGCACATGTCCATTCCACAGTTGGTGGGTGCTTGCCTCGTGCATAGTTATTGGAGAACTTTCTTTCCCTCAGCAGTAACCGTTGGGATGATTGGGGCCCCCTCTGCTGTCCGATGACACTACATGCTGGGATGAGAGAAGAGTCACCTTCAACTCCTTTCCATTCCTCCAGACTGCTTGTGATTGTTATTGAAATGATCTCACAATACTTACTGTAAGTGCTTCCCTTAGGCCTTTCCCTTAATATCCTCTGGGTGTTAGAAATTACTTAGCTAGTTATACTGGTAGCTTAGTCTTAGGTCTTTGGGTAACAAAAATGATTAGGGGTTTGGAACAGCTACCATATGAGGAAAAATTAATAAAACTGGGACTTTTCAGCTTAGGAAAGAGGAGACTAAGGGGGATATGATAAAAGTCTATAAAATCATGACTGGTGTGGCGGAAGTAAATAAAGAAAAGTTATTTACTTATTCCCATAACACAAAAACTAGGGGCTGCACAATGAAATTAATAAGTAGCAGGTTTTAAACAAAAATGATGTATTTCCTCATGTAGCACACAGTCAATCTGTGGAACTCCTTGCCAGAGGTGGAGGTGAAGACCAGTACTTTAACAGGGTTCAAAAAAGAACTAGATAAACTCATAGGGTATGTCTACACAGCAAAGTTATTTTGAAATAACGGCCCTTATTTCGAAATCACTTTACCAGTGTCTACACAACCAAACCGCTATTTTGAAATTAAATCTAAATAGCAGAGGGCTTATTTTGAAATTGGTAAACCTCATTCCATGAGGAAAAGCACCAATTTTGAAATTGCTATTTCAAAATAAGTGCTGTGTAGACGCTTATTTCAAAATAGGGAGCCACCAGCCCTTCCCAGGGTGCCCAGGTGGCCACTCTGGGCACAACCAAGAAAACTTCTCTCCCTCTCCCTCTCCCCAGAGCCCTTAAGGGGGTAGACTCTGGCCACAGTGCCTGTGCCAGATCCAAGCCTGCCAGCCCAGAGCCAGCAGTCACTTCACCTGACCCAGTGGTCCCAGCAGGAGCAAGGTAGTCAGTGCCAGCCAGCCCTCCACCACTCCCCAGGACCAGTCTGCCAGCTCTCAGGAGCCAGCCAGGGGCTGGAAAAGGCAGGCGCCTGCCCGGTCCAGTGTGGAGATAAGGGACATAATTCAGGTTTGGGGGGATGCCTCCAACATCCATCTAAACAGAGGAATGCAACCGTCTACAGGCGGATAGCTACCAGTCTGGCAACCAAAGGCCACATGCGAACCCAGGAGCAGGTTCACATGAAAATAAAGGAGCTGCGGCAGGCATATGCCAGGGCCACAGGGGGCACCTTCCAACCAGGGGCAGACCCAGACCCTTACCTCTATTTTGATGCCGTGGACCTCCTCCTGGGGGCAGGATGGTCTGTGCCCCCCAGGTGGTCATCGACCCTGGGGCAGAGCTTGCTGCTTCCTGTTGCTCTAGCCCCTGCTGCCTCCTCAGCTACTGCTCCTCCTCCCACTCCTTCTCCCCCTCCTGCTTCTTCCTCCCCACACCTCCAGAGACGCCGAGGCCCCTGCACCCATGGTGCTGGGAGACAGTTGGGCTGGCAAGACCGCCAACCCTGATCCCTGAGCTTCTCCTCCCCCTTCCTCCTCTTGCCTCTCCCTGCCAGCTCCCTCCTCCCAGGTTTCCCCCTCCCCTCTCTCACTCTCCCTCCTCCCCTCTCCCACCTTCTTTCCCCAGTCTCACTTCAGTTTCATTTCCCCCCACCCGAGTTTTGTTCAATAAAGAGGCTTTGTTGTAATGAACACATGTGTCTTTTTATTGCACAGCAGGAAGGGGGGTTAGGGAGAGGTTAGTGGAAGGACGTGAAGGAGGAATGAGGCACAAGCCCCCAGTGAGGCACACCAGGGAGACTGTTACTGCCTGCAGAACGTGCTGCCAGGCTCGCAGCGACAAGTCCAGGAGAAGCACCAAAGTGCCCAGGGGCTGCTCCAGCTCCATAGTGCAGAGTGCTGCGGTGTCCTGAGTGAGGGCTACCAGAGCATGCCGAGACAAAAATGCTTTGCTGTCCCTCAGCGAGGTAGGCAAGTAAGCAGGGAAACCTTAAAACCGGCTGTCTGGGGGGGGAGGTCCCTTTAAGCACAGGTCTCAGATACCTTGTGTGGCTGCTGCCTGAGGCTAACTCCTGACCTGATGCCCTGCCAGAACCAGTTCCAGCCAGCCCTAAATACGATTCAGCATCCTATCAGTGTGGACGCGCTATTTTGAAATAGCAAAATGCTATTTTGAAATGCATTTTGTGTGTAGATGCATTATTTCTCAAATAAGCTATTTTGAAATAACTATTTTGAAATAAGCTATTTTGAAATAACGCTGTAGTGTAGACATACCCATAGAGAATAGGTCCATCAATGGCTATTAGCCTTAGCCTCTGTTTGCCAGAAGCTAGGGAATGGGTGACAATAGATGGATCACTTGATGATTGCCTGTTCTGTTCATTCTCTCATGGGCACCTGGCATTGGCCACTGTCGGCAGACAGGATACTTGGCTAGATGGACCTTTGGTCTGACCCAGTATGGCCGTTCTTATGTTCTTTGGACTAGGTTTCCTTTTTGGTACTGTGCTCAGTTCTGGGGTAGTGCTGTGCTCACTGGGGTTTAAGTCCTGCTACACTTGTGCTAAACCCATGCTGGTCAGTGAGACTATTTATGGTGTTCAGAGAATCCCACATGGTGAATGTCATGTCTGCTAGGGTTGTAAGCCACGTTCATGGAGGGGCAGAATGGTGAGGCTCAAGTGTTTACTCATGGAGGCTGCATGTTGGCCCTTGTCGGACATTGGCCTCAGTGTAGAGAAAGGCAGAGATGCCTGGGTGCAATGGTCTCACTTGCCGGTACCAAAGAAAAGTCTCAGGTCTTCCTCATGCTTGGTATTGCACTTGGTTGTCTTGGTGCCTAAATCTAGGAAAGGCAGAGACCCCAGAAAACTGGCTGGGGAGTCTCTTGCTGGAGAAATCTTCCTCTAAAAAGAAGGAATTGCTACCACTGGAGCCGGTGTCAGGTCTGTTGAAGGCATCCCATGAAAAGCCGCTGGGAGGGAGTCATCACCTCTGGCAGTACAAGAAGGTTCACAGGCAGTACTGATGCCTGAGGGTCCTGCCTCACCATGCCAGGAACACTCAGTACCATTATCTATCCAGACCCTGCAAAGATCTGTGGAATCGAAGTGCAAACCTACAATGATTTCTTGGGTCCCACCCTCCCGGGCTGTGACTGGCACTGCTCCTCCAGTGCTGGGCAATTCAGAGTCTTCCTCACTGGATTCAAAGTCCCACCCAGGTCAGCAGACATATCCTCCTTCAGAGACATAGAATCATGGGCAGATCAGCAATCTCAGCATCAGCCCGCTCCTTTTAAAGGGCAATAGCCCAGCCAAAGTTGATCCAAGATCTTTATCCATGGCTATTCTATACTCTGGAGCAGTGTTTCTTAAACTTTTTAAGACCAAGGAACACCAAACAATAATTTTTTTTACAAGGAACACCAAGGATTTTTGTTTGAGCCAAAAAAAAAAAAAAAAAAAAAGGGGGGGGGAACAGGGCCCAAATTTAAAAAAGAAAAAAGGTCATCTGCCCCTTTAAGGGTGACCATTTTGAATTCTGTTCTCTGTGGAATACCTCCAACTGGCTTGTGGCACACCGGTTAAGAAACACTGCTAAATTAAATTAATGGAGATTGCCTATCTCCTACAACTGGAAGGGACCTTGAAAGGTCATCAAGTCCAGTCCCCTGCCTTCACAGCAGGACCAAGTACCATCCCTGACAAATTTTTACCCTAAATCACCTCTGCAAGGATTGAACTCACAACCCTGGGTTTAGCAGGCTAATGCCGAAACCACTGAGCTATCCCTCCCCCTGTAGAGTGTTGCTAAGTCTTCTCTCCAGCCACCTCTAGTGCACTGAGATCAAGATCACTGTTCTCTGATACACAGTACCAAACACTCAGGCCCATTTCTGGCAGCTCCCCTTCTCCCCCCACAAGTAATGGAGAAGCCACCACCTCGGAATCTTGTGGCATTTTGAGGAGGCAAGTGATTCAACAACACAGAGGCCTACAGGGCTCACCAAAGCCTCTCAACAAAAGGTGGCCTCTGATCTGGCTTTTCACACTCCAGGGGATAGAAGACCTCTTTTCTCCAAACCCAATCAGATGGTGCCCACATATGAAAGATCCTGTCCCTCTTGTGATCTGAGCCTGATCCTAGAGAAGCTAATGGGACTCCTATTTGACTCACTCTCAATTTGCTCTCTATGCAGGTGTAACCCCCTTTTTCCTCCCCGGGTTACTGGGGAGCAGGTCACACTCACAGGTGTGCCTGGGCGCCTGGTGTTTTAACCCAAAAGAGATCCTGAGCACCCCAGTGGTGATGGTGTTTAGCTGGGGAAAGCCCTATCCACCCCCTTGCTGTAATCCCTTGCTGGCAATGAATGTAAAGTGGCGGTGCCTCCACCTGGCTGGCCTTGTACACACACTGGTGTGCCTTGAGAGCCTCCAGGAATATACTCATTCCAACATAAAGCTGGATCTAATTCCAGAACAACTACAAATCATATACATCTAATAGAATACTTTAAAATAAACCATCTTTACTTAACTAAACAGGGATTAACAGATTAGCAAGGAATAGCATTAACAAAACACATAACAATAACTGAAGCTTATACAGCTAGACAACAGTGACCCCACCCCAGAGTGTGCACACCCTTAGACTCAGTCCCAGACACTTGCTTGCTTTGGCGCGCTGATGTTGCAGCTGTAGTGAGGGTTTGGACCAGGCTAAACAGCAGCTCTGTCCCAGGCAGCACTCTTCCAGCAAGGCCCAAACTTACTGCCTCATGCTGTGCCTATAGGAAGCAGCCTGCTAACTCCTAGTTCCAACAGGCATGTAGTAGCTGCATCCAACAGCCCCTGTACTGGGTCAATGTCCTTGGCAGGAGCCTGGCTCCCCCTTTGGTTCCAAAACTCCAAGGCAGAATCCCAGACTGCTGCCCAGACACTTGCTTGCGTTGGCGCGCGAAAATGTCCCCGCCGGCCTTCTGTCCAAGAAAAACAGAAAATTTTCTGGTTTTTTTGTTGGTTTTTTTTTTTTTTTGCCAGACAGAAGACGCAATTACTGGGCAAAAACCGGACACCTGGCAACCCTAGGGGTTATAGATAA